TTCTATTTATAACTATGCGCTCCCAAGAAATTCTTGCCAAATGCTTAAACCTTTTTCTTTTATTTATAATAAAAGCACAAACTCTGTTCTTTTTATATTTTCTCTAGAATTCATATTTCAACAAATCTATTCTGCATTGATATTTTAAGGCAATTATTTCCAAATTTCATTATATACCATAAATTGTATGCTTGGTATTGAAAATGTTTTTCGCATATTGATTATATTTAATTTACTCTAAATTAAAGAGAGTGGATAATTTCAATCAATTAAAGAATTAAACTAGTTAATTTCAAGTAATTATTATCCTTCATTATTGTCCTTCATTAGATGCTATATTATGATTCTCAATGTTATATCACTTTTTAATTAAGCTATGTTTGATATTAATCATCTAATAGGTGACTCAATGATAAAATTTGAGATCAAAGAATCTTTTCCTGTAATTTTAAATCAAAATTTTGTGATTGTTAATATAATGATCACTAAAAATTTATATAGTAATTAATTTCAGAATCTTTAAGATTAATTAAAGTGATGAAAGCTGGTCTGAACATCCATCTTAATAAATAAATAAATAAAGCTATGCTTATACCTCATCCACTTAATTATTTCTAGTATTACAATCAACTTACATGATTTTTTCTTTCAATTTTAATCTCACTTGTTTAAAGTTTTATAATTTTGAACATTATAGCAAATTTGATATGTAAGGAGTAATCATTATGTACATTTAAATAAAAGCTAATCAAATTAATTAACACAATGTTAATTAGTTTTTTTTTTTTTAACTTGATAGGGTATGATTCATTTAAATAAAAGCTAATCAAATTAATTAACAAAAATAAACTATAATCAATAAATTGGACCTTGTAATGTGTGAGGTCTCAATGTAAAGTGATGTACAAATGTAATCTAATGCTATATACACATGTAAATCGCAATAGAATCCATCCATATCAACATTCTAGATATGATTGACTAGATCTAAATTTTACAATTTCTTAAATGTTTAACAACCCTTTTTAATTTTATCAAGAATATAAGATCCACTCTAATGGTGATTAATAGGTAGCCTCTCAAAGTCTCGAATCTTCACACTAAAGGCATTTATTCAAAAAAGGAAAACAAATATGAAACTCAAATCTCTAAAAAAAACAAAAGAAAAAAGAAAAAAAAGAGAGCGGGGGTTTGGACTATAGGGACGAAGGGGTAAATATCAAATTCTCGGGTCGGTATAAGGAGTGCTTATCGATTGTTTTTTTTTAATTTTTTTAAATATATTAAAATAATATATTTTATATTTCTTAAAATCTATTTTTGACATTAATAAATTAAAAAACAGGACAAAGAGGAGGGGAGACAAGCATTAAATTCTTGATTATTTTTTTAAAGTATTTTCAAAAAATATTTTTTTATTTTTTAAGATTTATTTTTAATATTAATGCATCATTCAAAAACACTAAAATATTAATTTAAAATTAAAAAATAACTATTATTGTTTTTTTAATTAAAAAAAAGGTTGAACGGGCAGTGACAAAATGGTAACTACCTCTCCTCCACCTCTCCGTCAGACGCACACAAAACCACCATATGATCAGACAGCTAATATTCAACCTCTTCAACCATACTAAAATCTCAATGGCAGACATTTCACCTCATGTGAAAAGGACCCTTTCCATACTCTAACATTACCTCTCTTCTCTCCTTCTGTTGTTTTCTCTCTTCACAACCCCTCTCTTTTTATATAGAAAAAGGTTGCATTTTTATTTTAGCATGCATTCTTCTCTTGCTTGTTTGTTGGGATTTTGAAACTCAAAGATCGGATCGATAGTCATCTCATTTTGGCGACCCTACACATGATATCTCTCTCTTTCTCTATGTTTTTCTAAATGGTCTCTCTTCATGATCTCTTTCTCTCTCTCACTCTCTCTCTCCCCGCCATTGTTAATACAGTTATGTTACAAACAGTCTGTTGTTCGTCTATACCCTTATAAGTCAGTGTTTTCATTGCAGGTTTAACATGGACCTTTTGAAGACGCACAGGGAGAGTGACTGATCTCTGAAAACACATAGCTTTCTTAGCAAAATCAAAGGTAAACTTTGGTGGTCTTTTGTTCCTTTTCAAAGATGTCTTCGAGTGTTTTATTAAAGTTTGCGATTTCGGTTGACATCAAAAGATGTCAATATCTCTTTGGATATGGAGATTAAAGGATTTCTTTGATTTGGTTGTGAGAGGAAACAAGAACAAGAAAATTGTCCTTTTTTTATTTTCTTTTTCAAAGAGAGAGAAAAATTGAGATCTTGAAGCATCCTCCCACCTCATGCTTCCTTGCATTTCAAGGTGTCAATGAAGTAGGAGAGGAACTCACATTCAAAACTTATAGAAACAAATCAGTTTTCAAGAGATAAATAGCAAGAGCTTGTACGAGATTCAGTGGCTATATCTCTCTCTTCTTCTTCTTCTTCTTCTTCTTTTTATATATCTATATATATCTATATATATTGTAAATAAATTACACCAAGTAGTTATTAGATAAATATTGTTTCCTGTTTCACTCTCTCTAGCTAGGCTTGAAGAAATATTATTAGCCCATCAGTTAACAGATGATTCAGTTTCCCTTTAATATCTTCATTATTACAGTTTCTTTTTCTTCCATTACAAGTTACTGTTTGATTGTCTATATCGTTTTTGACTCATCATGTATTATTATTTATTTCCTTTTATTGGTAAATGAAGCTTCTCTGAATCTCTTCACCTTTATCTTCGTGAATCCCAGATTTCCATGCCTTAATAAAACATTTCCTTTATTACCTAGTGATTTGAACTTGTTTTCTTTAATGGGTTTTGATTGTAGTTGTTGGAAGGAAGGGTAAATGTCTTCTTCCAACTCTCCATGTGCGGCATGCAAGTTCTTAAGGAGAAAATGCACACAAGAATGTGTTTTCGCACCATATTTTCCACCGGACCAGCCTCAAAAATTTGCAAGTGTCCATAAGGTATTTGGTGCTAGTAATGTTGCTAAACTTTTGAATGAGCTCAATGCTGCACAACGTGAAGATGCTGTTAATTCACTTGCCTATGAAGCTGAAGAACGGCTTCGTGATCCTGTTTATGGCTGTGTTGGGCTAATTTCAATTCTTCAACATAGACTGAAGCAACTCCAGAATGACCTTTATTGTGCTAAGAAAGAACTAGCTAATTATATAGGGCCTCAAGCAATGCTACCTATGGTGATGCAGACACAACATATGGGCAATCCTTCTTCTTCAACTGTGATGCAACATAGTGTGATGCCAATGATGGGTATTCCTTCTGTTGGACAAATGGGGATGCGTGCAGAGGCTCATCAACATCAAAACCATCATGTCCATCCACAGCAACTCTACGAGGCTCAACAGTTGGCTGCTGTGGTGGCTGCAAGAGAGCAGGAGATATTAAGGGCTTATGAGCAACAGCACCATCAGCAAGAAATTGTGAGATTTAACGGTGGTCTTGAGCCAGCTAATTCAGTTGCTGCTACTGGGTATCATCAGATCAATCCATCTGCTGCTGCTGCTGCTATGCCACCCTCTTTGGCTCTAGGAACTTTTGACAACACTTTTCAGATTCAAACACAAGGAGAGCCCCATCCCAATCAGCTTCAGGCACAGGTTTTGCTTCAGCCACAACAAATCCAACAGCATCCAAAATCTGAAAGCGAGGAAGGTAGGAGTGGTGGTCCTTCTTGTTGATGTTTTGGCGACACTGTGTATCTTTCTTGCTAGTTTCTTATGGCGATTTTCCAATCTAGCTAGGTATGGTTTCTTCACTTCATCTATGTATTTAGTTCGTTGTTCGCTGTTTATGCCTGCACGTGTTTGTCTGAAAAAATAACCTTTGCATTTATGGATGGGTTCTGTAGTAAGTAATCTGTGTTGGTATCCTTTCACAAATAGGGTAATGTAGTTTGTTGGCAGTAGAAAGCCAAAGTTACTGTTGTTTTGTAGAGAGCAAAAGGGCTTAACTCGTTGAAAGAACTTATTGTCTTTTCATAGGCAGGGACATATCACCTTCATGGAATGTAAGAAGCACGCACGCGCGCGCGCACATATTGTCTTTTCATAGGCAGGGACATATCCATTCACATATATAATTGATCTTTTCCAACGAATAATAACAAAATTAAACAAATTAGTTTTTGATTAAATATTAAATTAGCTATAGAAGTATTATTCCTTAACACAAGCTTCTACAACAAGGTTAATTAAACTTTAATATGAATATAATTCTTCTATAATTATGAATTGATCACTATGTATGTGCTTATTAATCACATTTCCTTAAATATAATTCTTTTGAGAATTCATATCCAATAACTTTTAAATTCATATTTAGAATTTTTAATATGTATAAGTTAGATTTTTCAATGTTGGGAGATTTACCTATAATTTATTTTATTTTTCAAATTTTCTGTTTCCGTGAATTTCTTTCTTTCTTTCTTTCTTTTTATGAGAATTTTGTTGCCATATTATGCACTCACTGAAAATGGGCTCAGGTCTACAAGGTCAGCAGGATAATTGTTGATTATTAATGATGAATCCAAGGCATGTTTAAGCTTGTCATTTTCTTTTGGAAGGATTATGAAATGATTTTTGTAGTAATCATGCAAGGAAATTTAGTCCTCTTTTTATTTATTAGTAAGAGACGTAAAAGGGGTAGATAGAAAGATTTTATGGAAATTTGGTGTGCTAATTCCATCAATGATCTTGACTTTTGTGTCGTAATTTTTCTTCAAAGACATCAGTCCCCTTGATAATGGTTTTCTCATTTCTAATGAGTGGAGGACTCCATTTGCTTTAGGAGAAACTTCAATTTAATCTCAAATTTATATACCCTTCTCAATGATATCCAAACCTATAAATTTATCAATTAATCCCTAAATATTTCTTATACTTTTCAATCATGTCCTTTTCTCATATTTTATTTACTAAAATATTATCGATTAGAAGAAAATTTGTTTAAAAAAGTTAATGGCTAAAAACATTTTGTTTTTGGCCTAATGCACATATTTATGCATGAAAATGATGTCAATTTTCTTAAAAAAAACGATGAAAATGTTGATGAAAATTACAGAAAGACAATAATCTTTAAGAAAACACTCAGGATCAAATTGATATAGTTTGTTGGTCTTAGACTCAATTAAGAATGAGTACATATGTTTCGGATTAAAATTAGGTTGTTCTTTTGTTTTATCCTGAAATCTTGTTCCTTTTTACTGGTTGACTAACGTGCTTTAATGTTTTCAAACAGTCTAGGTTACTATAGCCTGCATCTAGCTTATTAACCACATCATTCATGATGTGTACTCCCTAATTAAGTTGTGATTAACGAGACAGTTTTACTTTCATCTTTTGTTTTTTAGGCACAGACAGCAACATCAATTCACTGGTTTTAATTTCCATATATATATATATATATGTTATTGATTATATTTTATAATGAGTTTTTTGCTTTCCTTCCTCTTATTTTCATCATGTCCATGCAGCTCTTATATAAATGCCGGACACAAGTGGATAGAAAGAAATACATAGAGAGAGGGAGGGGGGAGTTTGACATCTAAAATCTAAAGGCAGTATTTTTTCATGTAAAATTTTTGGCCCCTGGAGAAGAAGACTTTCTGGAGAGACGCATCTTGGAATGAAGGATCTGTCTTGGTTTTCGAGTACAGCTTTCGTTGATCTGGCGTTTGGACTTAAATTAATGCAGAGAACGTTTATGTAAATCTGAAGCATGGGAAGCCTTCTTTGAAGCTTTTGTTTATTGCCCGTCCTTTATATTTTTATTTTCGCTATCCCAGTCGTTTTTTATTGTTAGAATCTCATGTTTCTAGTTCTCCTTTAGCATGCCCACTATTAGATCTTTATAGGTTGTATCTAGCCATGTGATAAAAACTTAGTAAAATGTATTTTCTCAATGCTCTATTTTGGCTTTTTTTTTTTTTATAAATCAAATGATATAATTTAGAATATGCAGTTTGGCATATTCAAATAGATTCAATTTGTTGGGAAATTAGAACCAAAATTCAACATAGGTCATCATTATGAACAACCTAATTCAATGAAAAAAAAAATTCAAATAAGAATTCAAGATTTAACGTGGTTGAGTTAAATAGTACTAACTAAATTAACATGATTTTGAATATGAATATGTTTTTTATTTTTGAAACTTGAAAGCATCCTGTAAACCCATTCTCATACTTAAAATGCTTATTTGGCATTGCCACCGTATTTATAAATAAACATTGTTTATAAGTGTTTGATTAGATATTAATTACACTTTTATTATTATGGATTTGCTTTTCATGAGAGTGTGTTTATTGACAATGTAAATAATTAACCATTGCAAAAATTTATCAAAACAACCCGAGAGGTCTCTATTCTTCAGGTCTGGAAAAATCCTAACCTTGTTTTCGTTGCTCTTCCCCTTCTCTTTCTTCTGCTATATTTTCCAGTCTCCACTGTTTTGTAAAGTGAACAATGGACTCTATTGTTCACTTTACAGAATAATAGAGAGCGTCTCCACTGTTCATGGCTAGAATGAGTCAAGTCCAAACCTAAATACATTGAACTGGGTCTAACCTAGTAAAATAAAAAAATATAAAAAATTTCTGAGATATTGTGTTTTATTTTAAAAAAACTAACGGAATGAGTCAAGTCCAAATCTAAATACATTGAACCGGGTCTAACCTAGTAAAATAAAAAAATCTAAAAAATTTCTCAGATATTGTGTTTTATTTTAAAAAAACTAATGTCTAACATTATTTAATGGTACTATATAATTACATTAGAAAGATATCACATGATGATGTAACATTTATAAAATTTGATCACAATTCTAATTTTATTCCTGGTGATATTTTACTTGATATTATTGCATGCTCAAGAAGCCATGAAAATCATAGTCCTTATTGGATGAATTTTGTATATGATAGAATTATAGATAGTTTAATGAAATAATAAAAAATACTTTATATAAAGTATTGTTTATTTCATGATGTAATAGTAGTAGTTAAATCTACAATATTTCAATTACAAATCATCAATATTAATACATATATTTTAGTTATTTTATAACCTTATTTTGAAAAGCATTCTTAACCAAATACATTAAACCACTTTTTGTTCAACTTTAATTTCAAACATAGTTTTAACTAAATATATATTTTATCAAACCAACCTTAACTAAAATTGGTTTTTTTTTAAACCATAACCACAAAAGTTACTATAATATTAAACACACCCGAAGAAAGCCTTTAAACCCTTTTGCTTTTTACACTTGAACCATTCATCTTCTAACATATTTATAATGGCTAAAAACACTTGGTGGGTAAGGAATAAACAAGCTTGGTGACTGAGTTAAGAGGCTACTCCACATTTCTTTATCCCTACCTTATTTACTTGACCATTTCTTCAAGAAAAGATAAGCAACATTATCAACAAATCTCCATTTTGATGGAATTTAAGCCTTTTAGAAGATTTAATGACTTATCATGCTTGTGAATACCACAAGACCAAAAATAAAAGTATTCATTGATTTTCAGATTTACTAGCTACACATGACCTAAATTAACAAACAGTCTTTGGCTCAAAAAACTAGAAGTAATCATTAATTTTAAAATTTACTAGTTACATATGATGTAAATCAACATACAAACTGCAACTCCACTTGATTTAAATAACATGGCTAATGTTCATTAACAACTATCTCTAGTCAATTTTACCCATTAACTTTAGAGTATGATCTTTATTTATCTTTAATTTTAGAAGGATCTTTCACCCCATACTTATCTAAAATCTAAAAATATATAACTCATTTTTTTTAAACAATCACTGAAAAGACTAATTTTAAGTAGTTGTTATCTCATGTGCTTCATTCTAAACCACTTTTTAAGGTCAATATCTTTCTAATCAAATAATATAACCCATCATACTTTTCTCCCTCCATTAAGATTTTAAAGACTCCATTTACAAGAGAATAACTATATTCTTTGGAGTCAAACTGGCTTAACGATATCAAATTCCTTCACATTTTTAAGATATAGGCCACATCACCCTAAGTAACCATATCAAACATTTTGATTTTCACCATTTTGATAATCATAACATCACAATATGACATACCATCAATAGGTATCGTGACAAACTTTCCTTTTTGTAACTCATCAAAATATTTTTTTGGAACACATGTATAATCTAATATCCAATTATCATGAAACAAAGTGTCAATATCTTCAAAGACTATGAGAACATCTTCATAATATTGTACCACTATCAAAAAATTCTCATCATCATTAAATTTATCCATATTTTTTTTTCTTAGGACAATCTCACTTGATGTAACCAAATTCTTTGCACATGTAACATTTAATGTCCTATTTACTAGATCTAGACTCAAACTTACCACTTTAACATCCTTTTTCAATTGATCATCCATTTTGATTCTCCCCTTTGATAACCAATACAAATATTCCTTTTCTTGATTTGACTATCTCTATATCTTATAAGTAAATGTGTAACTTGTACTTGGTCTAAACTCATTATATCCTTATTATACAACATCGTTGTAGCTAGAATTTTTTAATGAACCAATAATAGATGTAAGAAGTAAAAGGGATTTATATTATTCCTTAATCTTGACATCAACTTTTCTTAATTGATCTAGTACACTAATTAATACATTTAAGTCCTTCATCATATTCTCGTCTTTCTCTATTTTTAACTTGTAAAGTTGCCACTTAAGATGTAACTTTTTGGTCAAACTTTTACAATATAAAGGTTGTTTAACTTTTTCTTCATTGCAAGTGCTAAATCCTTATCCATAACATTATTGATATTGTTATCAATAATATAGTGTTGAATCATGCACACACATGTTAATTCTAATTCCTTATACTCTTCATTTTCATCTCCATTGACTTCTCATCTTTTCTTTTCAATGAAGCTAAGCTTGATTGAACAAAGATATCTTTGACTCTTTATTAAAATAGAGTAAGACTTTCATTCTTATCAAATTGTTCTATGGTAAATTACGGCTTACTATTATAGACATTATTTATAATAAAAAAACTAAATTTTCTAAAATCAAATCTCTAATACTAGTTTATTAGGAAATTAGAATTGAGATTCAACATATGCCACCACAAACAATCGAATTCAATGGTAAGATTAGAGATAACGAAGATGCCACCACAAACAATCAAATTCAATGGTAAGATTAGAGATAACGAAGGGTATAAACGAGTTAGGTTTTTGTATATCCGTATCTTACCCATTATCTATCGAATAAAAAACTTATATATTCATACCTTATTCATAAGGTTTGGGATATCCATTATTCGAGTATTATTTATTATTTAACATAAAGTATAATAGTAATATATATTTGATGTAACATATATTCATGGGTGATATTAGGTTAGGTTTGGTCAAGTTACAATATCCATACCCTATCAAATACCTCTTAGGTCAGATAACTATCTAAAAAAATCCTCCTATTTAAATTAGTTTAAATCGATATCCATCGGGGTTTTAAATAAATTTTCATCTCTGGGTAAGATGAATAAAGAGTAGACACATGAGATTTAATGTGATTTGGAAAAATCATACCTATATCCACGACATAAGAGTAACCTTTCTTTATTATCAAAGAAATTAGTATGACAATATGATTGTATTTTTTATTCCCCAAACCTAATCCTAAAGCCTTTTATGCACCCACTCTCAGTCAAAGAAAACCTCTCAACCCTTGTGACACTCATCTTATCACTTATTTATAATGACCAAAATATTAGGTGAACAAGAAACGGAACAACTTTAATGACCAAGTTTACAAAGTTTAAAAGTTGCCAAACTTTTTTATCACCATTCCATTTACTTGGCCATTACTCTAAGGAAAAAATAAGTCATATAACCAACATATTTTTGGCATTTTAATCTATAATTAATTTATTGATGTACTATTTAAATTTTAGTTACAAGGAAATAAATCTCTCAATAAGACTTATAAATTAATTTTTTTCTTGGCAATCCATTGATAAGATATATATTTACCGTATTGTTTTTTAAATTTCACATATGTTATTACAAAGTTTATTGGATTTTGTTTTGAGTTTTTTTAACCAAAAAAAATAAAGCACTAATTAAGAGCATGGTTCTTGTATTATGTATTGTCAATTTAGATATGATAAGTAAATATAAATTTTTGTATGTAATTTAAAGTAGAGATAAACATTAATTAAATGAATAATCCATACTTTAGTTTTTAACTTGATACAATTTTATATATTTATTAAATGTATTATTTTTAGAATTATTATTACTAATCATGATTGAGATCCTCATGTGTTTCTATGGTTTTGTTTTTGACAAACCCCCAGTATTCCTAAACTATTAGGGTAATATCAATTTTGTACTATAACTATTTTGTTTTATAAATTTATCCTCAAATTATTTTGATTTCTCAATTAAGATTGTTTTTGTTAAATATATTTAAAGAAAAATATTAATTTTTCTATAAAATGACATTGCTTTTTAAAAATAAAATAAGAATACAATTTGGATGGGGATATTGATGAAAATCCTTATTTGAGATGTTTTGTAATTATGAGGATAAAATTGATATAACAAATTATTTTATAGGAATATTGGGATTACTAATATTATTATAGTTGAGAGTATATTTGTCAATTCTTTTTTATGTTATTCCCTAGTCTTGTGGGATAAATAATGATTGAACCGAACCTTTTAAAATACAAACATTGCCCTTTCTTTAAACTTATTTTTAACATGTATCTTTGGCTAGATTCCAACAACCTACCTATGATAGAAGTCTTTGTAGAGTTTGTTAGTGTTTTACCTAGATAGA